TTTACATGCTTCTCAAGACTATTCATAGTTTATTATGATACACACAGTTGAGTGATTTTTGCATAGTCAATAAAACCCAAGTAAACATCTCTCAGACAAAATCCATCTGGCATCAGCAATTACAACCTTTGTTTCATGTCCTCATCTGAATCTGACCTGAATTTCTGGAAGCTCCCTGTCAATACACTGCCATAGCTGTTATTGGATGATCTTCAACCAAATTTTATTTGCATGTCATATCAATAATATTGTTCTATAATTTGCACATTCTGTTAGCACAAATTCCCTGGCTCCACGAACTTGTTGAAACCTTCCAATTAGTATGCCATTATTTCCCGGTGCCTTGTTGTGGCCAATGCTTTCAGTGCAGCTTGAATTTTTCCTTTAATACCATTGACTCTTGATCATACGCTATTTTTATAATAGCTTGAATATCAACTAGTGGTTTTTGATACAGTGACTCTCTATGATTTTCATTTTGCTTAGATGCTTCCCGCATCATTCAGTATGGAGCACTGGTGGCTTAGTGGGCACACATTGGGCTACTACTCATAAAGTCATCAATACGAGACTACCAGCGACCATGAGGGAGAAAGAAAACTTACTTTCTTAGAAACTTAAAGAAGCAGCTCTAATCTACCTTAAGGTTGCTATGAGTCAGAATTGCCTTAATGGCAGTGAGTTTGGTTTTTAGCTCTGGGGACTGGTGCCACAGTGATTACTTATTGGGCTGCTAACCACAAGGTCAGGAATTCAAAAGACAAAGTTTTCGACTCCCATTAAAAGCTACAGTTTACCTTGTATTAAAGGTCTTACATTTGTCCATATTTTTATTCATAATTGCTATAGGTTTGAGTTTTATGTTTACGTCTTTAATCCATCTTGAGTTCATTTTTGCGTATTGTATGAGATATAGGTGCTGTTTCATTCTTTTGTAATTACCATTCCTTTCTGAGCTGATCTCTTTGCCTTGAATTTAATTAGCCCAGCATATTTCTTTTGAAACCACTATTTTGAGTAGAACGCTTTTGGAAGCACTACAATTAGACTAAGGCAAGTTTAATTAATCATATTATATGTTGTTATTGATTTTCAAATGTGGAAACATCCTTACTTTTTTGTATAAATGACTCTTGATTGTAGTATATAATCCTTTGAAAATAGAGTTGAATTTGTTTTGCTACTATTTTGTG